ATGGAGCTGGTGAGGGGTCTGGAGCACAAGTCTTGTGAGGAGCAGCTGAGGGACCTGGGGGTGTTCAGCCTGGAGAAAAGGAGGCTGAGGGGAGACCTTCTTGCTCTCTACAGCTCCCTGAAAGGAGGGGGTAGTGAGGGGGGGGTCGGTCTCTTCTTCCAGGGAACAGGAGGACAAGAGGAAACAGCCTCAAGTTGTGCCAGGGGATGTTTAGATTGGATATTAGGAAAGGTTTTTTTACCAAAAGGGTTGTCAAGCATTGGAACAGGCTCCCCAGGGAAGGGATGAAGTGTAGACGTAGTGCTGAGGGACGTGGTTTAGTGGTAAATTTGTAATGCTGTGTTAAGGGTTGGAGTTGATGATCTTAAAGGTCTCTTCCAACCAAAGTGATCCTGTGATTCTATGATAACGCTGTACTGTGCCATGCCATGCTGTGCTGTGGTGAGCAATGTCTGCAGGAGGCCCCGGGACAGATGGGACCAGCTCCCTGCTGTCCTCTGCCTGCTCCCTGGCCGTTGGGAGCTCAGCCCAGGCCTTCACCTGGCTCAGGAAGCCCAGCATTCCCCGGCTGGGTGAAGCCCCAGGACCTTGGCCACAGGGGGGTGGTCTCCATCCTTGCCTCGTCCCTGGGCTCCAGCAGTGCGTCTGTCTCGCTGCAGGCCCTGAGGATGTCGGACGGGATCATGAGCAAAGCTGCCACCATGGAGATCCCCATCAGCAGCAACGGGGACACGGGCAGCCTGCCGGAGGACGATGGCTTGGAGCAGGTTTGTGGCTGGGGCCGGGTGGGCACGTGCCGGACCCCCGTGTGTTGTTCTGTGGGAGGTGTGGGGCAGGCAATGCCGCTCTGCCCCCGGCCCTCTCCGTCAGGGCCATGCTGGCCCGGCCCTGCTCCTCAGCTGCCTGCGCTCCTCCCTCCACTCCAGGACCTGCAGCAGGTGATGGTGTCGGGGCCCAACCTCAACGAAACCAGCATCGTCTCCGGCGGCTACGGGGGCACGGCTGAAGGCATCATCCCCACCAGCACCATCAAAGGTAGTCCAGGCCGTGGTGCAGATGGGGCTGGGGCTGCCTGCCAAGCGCAGTGCTGCTCCTCGTGCGATGGCAGAGGTGGGAACCAGAGGCTCTGTCACGGGAAGGAGGGCACAGCTTGTCTCACTGCCCTCCTGCTCCCCGCCAGGCTGCAGGAGCCTTTGGGGAAGGAAGCGTGCTGCTCAAACTGCAGGGCCTGGGAGTCTGGTCCCTCTGCCGAGGCACAGACCGTGGTGTTGCCAGGCGGGGAGTGCTGGCTCCAGGCCAGGCCTTGCAGAGGGTCCTGTGCGTGGGCAGAAGTTCTGTCTCAAGCCTAGACCACTGGGTGCAACATCTCCTTCTCGGGACAGTGGCTCCTGCCAGCGCAAGGTGCTTCTGGTAGGCTGATGGGCTGGTTGAGCCGGGCTGGCGGTGCCACACCACTAACCTCGTTCCTCTGGCGCGTTCCACATGCGGTAACTCATGGGGAGGCAGTGGGCCACAGGCACTCCCCTCTCTTGCAGGCGGGGACCTCCCACTGTGGAGAGCTTGGCCGGTCATGTGGGGCAGCTTGAGCTGCCGGGGCTTCGCACCGTGCTGAGGTGCAGCAGCAACTCTCGGGTCATTCCTCCAGTGGCAGGGAGAGACTCCACTGTCCCACCTCTTCTCTAGTCCTGGGGAGCTCTGGGGATGCGCCGGTGCCAGTGGTTGTGCCACAAGGACTGGGGATGTCCTGCCCACAGGGGGACAGGCAGGGGGTCTGTGAGCCCCATGCTCTGCATTTATTTCCTCTATGCGTTGCTCAGGCTGGTACTGGGGTTGCGGGTGCAGTGATGGCCGGGAACGGCTGGCAGGAGCCCGGCGGGTGGGGTGGCACATCCCC